GCATGTGTATCGGGATTGAGACAATAACTCTGAAAGATACACTCATGGACAAAACTTAAGGAAGTTATACCTTTTAGCATGTATATCGGGATTGAGACAATAACTCTGAAAGATACACTCATGGACAAAACTTAAGGAAGTTATACCTTTTAGCATGTATATCGGGATTGAGACAATAACTCTGAAAGATACACTCATGGACAAAACTTAAGGAAGTTATACCTTTTAGCATGTGTATCGGGATTGAGACAATAACTCTGAAAGATACACTCATGGACAAAACTTAAGGAAGTTATACCTTTTAGCATGTATATCGGGATTCAGACAATAACTCTGAAAGATACACTCATGGACAAAACTTAAGGAAGTTGTACCTTTTAGCATGTATATCGGGATTGAGACAATAACTCTGAAAGATACACTCATGGACAAAACTTAAGGAAGTTATACCTTTTAGCATGTATATCGGGATTGAGACAATAACTCTGAAAGATACACTCATGAACAAAACTTAAGGAAGTTATACCTTTTAGCATGTATATCGGGATTCAGACATTAACTGAAAGATACACTCATTGACAAAACTTAAGTTGTACCTTTTTTAGCATATATATCGGGATTGAGACAATAACTGAAAGATACACTCATGGACAAAACTTAAGGAAGTTATACCTTTTAGCATGTATATCGGGATTCAGACAATAACTGAAAGATGCACTCATGGACAAACTTAAGGAAGTTGTACCTTTCAGCATGTATATCGGGATTCAGACAATAACTCTGAAAGATACACTCATGGACAAAACTTAAGGAAGTTATACCTTTTAGCATGTATATCGGGATTGAGACAATAACTCTGAAAGATACACTCATGGACAAAACTTAAGGAAGTTGTACCTTTTAGCATGTATATCGGGATTCAGTCAATAACTCTGAAAGATACACTCATGGACAAAACTTAAGGAAGTTGTACCTTTTAGCATGTTTATCGGGATTGAGACAATAACTCTGAAAGATACAGGCATTTTTTCCAAATAAATGTAGAATCGCACGTAAGGCATGTATACAAATATTTATTTTAAATGTTATACTTGGAAGAAATGCCTGTAGAAGTGTTCATAAACTCGAAAGCTTGCCAATTATAGTAAATTAAGAAAGAGAAAACCTTTGCGGAGGAGTTGAATAAGTATATATTTTTTGCTTATCCCTAGTACAGGCCATGATAATCATGGTGGATAGAAGGCGACTGCTTTTACTGGAAGTGCATCACATGTCTACACACGTTAAAAGCAGTTCGACTTTGCCTTTACAAATAAATATGCCAGAGCCCCGTTTGGTTACTTGCACTCGCTGGTGGGGTTGGTCTTTTGCAAGAATAGGGGGACATTGGAGCATTTTTTTTTTTTTTAATCAGAAAAAAGTGCCCAATGCGGGAATCGAACCCGGGTCGTAGCGGTCGTTAACCAACGGTCTATACCAGCCTTTCACCGACCCCCACTAAGTATTTAAAGTATGGGAAATAGATTTTTCATAAAGATTGAAGTTGCCTGGCCGATGGCATTCATAGTTCTTACAATTAAAGATACTCCGGCTAGTGGATGTTTTTATTATCTCGACTTTTCGACAAAAATCCTTTTGTTTTTTGACGAGGACAAAAGTTTTTTTATAGAAATATCGAGAGAATAAAAAAAGATTTACTGGCCGAAGTGTCTCTTAATTCTAAGAAAATATATTTGTTTGGCAAATATAGAGAGAACTCTAAATTGCTATAGACGCGTATGATTCTTTTGCAAATTGAACAATTTTCTACTGCCCTTACTGCAATGGAAAATTTAATGGAAAAATTGTTTAATTTTTAAAAGAATCATACACGTCTATAATAGTTTCGAATTCACATTACAGATGGTACGCTAATGTATGATAGAGAGAACTTGATTCCATTGTCCGATGGAGGTATAGAAGGATAGAGAGTTGGTCGAAGCCAATATTTCCAGAAACCCGACGACAGGTTCTGGAGAAGTCCACGAGACCCAGGTGGTGATCTTCCCAGAACGTCCTGGCCTTGAAGATGGAGGCCTCCCAAATTATCCACCAGATTACTTTTGTGTAATTGATCACCAACGCCCAGGAACCGTTCTGGGAAGTCGAGCGAGGATCTGATAGGCTGGCCGAGCCTTCCTCTGAAATCAGGTGATACTGGCCGGGTGGTTGCTTGGGTGTTGCAACCACTCTCAAGTTGGGCTGAGCCCTTCTTTTTTCTCGATTCTAGTAAAACACTTATTTACTTTTTTTTTTTCGTTTGAAATAAAAACAATTACCTATTCCCAGTACTCATGCCTCGCCGATGGCTTTTCCATTTTGACGTGGTGAAAAGGATTACAATTATTCCTGCCAGCTATGCTGACATCCTGTAATATCCACTCTGCATGTAGGACAAGATGGCGGTCGACATAAGACCTATTAAATCAAAATGTCTTCCAAGCCACGACTTGGATTTGTATTCCAAGAAGATGCAAATTGTAAAAGATTTCGGCGCTCCACGTGTTTATGCAGATAGGACATGATGAGAGAGATGATAAAACTAATTAATTTTCCCATTTTCTAGCGTAGTTCTGCAAGCATGTCTCCAATGTGCAATGACAAATGTTGCTCCATAATATTTTGGGTCATTTGACAATTATTTGATTTTGCAAGCCTAACTGTAAAGTTTTATCTTAATAAAACATTTTATTATCATTTTTTATATTACTGTCTCTTTTTTAGCACATTTCTATACTCAATATTATCAGTGTTATATTATTAATGTGTTGTGTGTTATATAAACACTCTCTATAAATAGTTGATACGCCATAGTCAAAACCACAACTAACTAGGTTAAATCCTGGATGATAACTTATCATTATTATCAATCATTATTATCTGTGCGCTGAGGGTGTCGAGACTTATAAACAATCAGACAGAATTTGACTTATACATATTTACATATTGTTTTGAAAATAGAGCAATCCATATTTAATTCATTAGATATAAAAAGGCATATATTGGATTTAATAAAAGATTGGCAAAATAAATATTTTATTAAATTCAATATATGCCTTTTTATATCTAATATTTACATATATAGATGATCACATCAGCACCGTTATTATTGAGGGATGGTATATACCGTGTTTTTTTGTCAGCCAAGACCCGGGTTCAAATCCCGCATTGAGCACTTTTTCTGAAGAAAAAAAAGTTACAATTGGCTTCCGATTCTTGCAAAAGGACAACCCTACTAATGAATGCAAGTAACTGAACGGAGCCAAAGCACTCGGCTAACCAAACCAGGTCATTTGTCAAGTTGTACAAAATTAAATAAGGAATTATATAACATATATATAAGAAAATAAACTATTTTGTCTTTAACAATTAATTTTTGGCAATATGTTTCTCTCGATAGATGGCAATTAAATTTATAAATCAAGGTAATAGGACCAAATACAAATAAATAACTAGTGTGTAAGGAAGAATAACTTCTTAGGTCCATTGAAGTCTATAAAATTGATAAGGTACAATTTGGATTCTAGATTATAAAACAAGGTAATAAGACCAAATCCAAATAAATAAACACACTATTTATTTATTTGGATTTGGTCTTATTACCTTGTTTTATAATCTATAATCCAAATTGTGCCTTATCAATTTATAAATATAATTTGTTAATATAGCTTTGATATGAAACCATATTTGCTTGATGCGATACCTAGATATTATATGTATGTACCTCTACAGACCTATAAGCTTATGTCCATAGGTTCCTTAAACATCCCTAAGCTACCTACCATAGTAAATACAGGGTATATAGAGAAATAATCCAATGCAAGAACATAAAAGTCGGTGGATGAGTAGGTAACACCCTCGATTCCCGACATTCATGAACCGGGATTAAATCCCACGTTAACATTTTGTTTAATATGTGAATAACCTTCACATGTTATTCATTGTTGCAATTATCATAAACTAGGTTGCTCTTGTTGAGCGGTACCTAATAAAGTGATTTTGAACCGGATCCAATACAATAGTAGAGCGGACTGGAGATTAATTTGGCAAACCGCTGAGAGGGTTCACCACTGATGAGCCAAACCCTCTCATTCAATAACTTTTTATCATTGCAGTAAGGTCTATAGAGATTAAAAAATAAATAAATAAAAAAAAGCACATTGCCAAAAATTGATTTTTGTAGATTTTATCGATAGATGGCAATTAAATTAATAAACTATTTTGTTAAAATTTTACACAAATAAATTTACTGGCAATGCGTTTCTTTTTTAAATCTCTACAGACCTTACTGCAATGATATGATTTAATGAATCAGAGGGCTTGGCTCATCAGTAGTGAACCCTCTCAGCGGTTTCGCCAAATTAATCTCTAGACCGCTCTACTATTGTATTGGACTGGTTTTGTTATATACCCTGCATTTTCTATGGAAGGCAGCTAAATGGTGTTTAGTGAACTATGGACATAAGCTTATAGGTCTGTAGAGGTACATACATATAAATTTCAAGGTATTGCATCGAGCAAAGCTCTTCCGCGCAAAACATGTTTTCATAACCATTATATATTAGTAAATTAAATTTTTATTGCCCTCTATCGTTAAAATTTTACACAAATACATTTTCTGGCAATGCGTTTCTTTTTTAAATCTCTACAGACCTTACTGCAATGATATGATTTAATGAATGATAAAGCCCCAACTGTCCTTTACTGCGGTAGAAAGTGATGAGCCAGGCCCACACCATATTTTCCTATTTCATTAAGAACAGTAGGAAGTTACTTCGTTCATTTGAAATATCGTGATAAATAGATTCTTATAATAAAGTATTGAAAATAGATCAATCCATACTTAAATCATTAATATATACAGTTATCAGAGTCATCAAGCAACAATTCTTAATAATCAATTCTGTCACCGTTTGCTTTTGTGAATGGAATAAATACCTAAATATGGCCATTTCTCATAACCATCGGTGGTTCAGTGGTAGAATGCTCGCCTGCCACGGCCCGGGTTCGATTCCCGGCCGATGCATTTTTTTTTTTTACAATTTTTAAAACTCATTTATATATTATACTAGCGGATGTGTACCCGGCTTCGCCCGGGTTTTATCCGAGTGAAAGTTTGCCTAACGAATATTATATATTATGAAGTATAATAAACAATGTTAAAGATTAGTTTTAATTATTAATCAAGATTGTGTGTGAATATGTGAGAAAGATGTAATATCGTTGTTGTTTTCTTGGCCGACTGTTTTACATATGGTGTTATCTTAAAATTGCTTGTTTTGAATATTTTTTTAGATTGAGTTGAATGAATTGCTGAATTTTTTTTGTATTTATATATAAATAAAATTAACTCTTTTGATTTTTTTTTTGTATTTAATCGATAACAGCGAAGTTGCGCATGTTAAAGTTAGGAAAAATATTTTGATGTTAAGCAAAACCTGCTCCATCTCGTTTTACATAAATGTTGAAAATTTGGTCGAAATTGATGCATTGTAACGAAAGTTTTTAGCAAACACCACTTATGAAATTTCCATTTTATTAATATAGACAAGAATGACATCCACGGCGCCAATTTATAATTGTAACGAATAGTATTTGAATAAAAACATTTAATCGGGTAAAACCTGGGCGTTGCCCGGGTCATTCGGCTAGTTGGATAATAAAAAGGCTTATATTGGATTGAATAAAATATTTGCCAATATTTCGGTTAACTGAACGCCAACCATTATCAAGGCATAGTAACGTATTTATTTGTATAAACATTTTGTGGCGCTGAGTTTGTTTATACAAAATTAATAGATTGTTATGTCTTGACAAAGGTTGGCGTCAAGCTAACCGAAATATTGGCAAATAAATCTTTTAATTCAATCCAATATGCGCCTTTTTATTATATAATTAACTATATGTTGAAATTTTATTGTAATATTTTTATTGTGGCAAATTTTATTGTGTGTGTTTGACAAAAATGTATTTGGGTATTGTTTAGTCTTCTTTCATTCCTGTTGCATTTCCCTAGGCCCATCTTGTTTTTGTCTTTTCTATCTTCTGAATGAAGTTTTTGTATTTGAATGGGACAAAAGAAAAATGATTTCCTTTCAACGAGTTTTTTTCTTTATTTCAATCGTAGAGGAAATGAGTTTTAGGACAAGGTGAAGACGTGACCTTTTTGAGGGATAGTTGGAATGTTTTATGATTCAAGCTGGCAACACCCATGGTGAGATGACTCGGCCATGATGTCATCATGGTGTTTGCAGGCGGAAGTATCGGGAAGGATGCTGCGGATGACTGAACATCTTTGACCACAGAGTTTATTCTTTCTGTGAGCTTATATGTTTTCAGCCTAAAAAGCTTTTATCCTTGTTCCAAAATCACTTTATTAGGTACCGCTCAAAAAGATCAACCTAGCCTATGTTATTTACAACAATGAATAATATGTGTGAAGGTTATTCACATATTAAAACAAAGTGTCTAACGCGGGATTCGAACCCGGTTCATGGCTGTCGGGAATCGAGGGTGTTACCCACTCGTCCACCGACTTTTTCAAAACATTTTATGATCATCTTACAAACCATTTGATTGAGTGATAATGACCATGTTTGTGTATATGTAAATGGGCTCAAATATTATTCGTGGAGGCTTTTCGAAGCTTGTCTTCTTCTTTCTTATCTACACTCAATCATATTAAGGTATAAAGCCTGTAGAGCTTGAGACTTTTGATGGTGTTTGAACATAATTGGGTGAAGTAGAATGTGCCTTTGTCATTAAGACCGGAAACACTACTCAGTAGCAGGGAACACTACTCAGTAGCAGGCCGACTTAGCTCCAAAATAAATGGCCGCCTCTGACATGAGGAACAGATGCCACGTGCAGCCACTCCTAACATGGAGTACAAACGCTGCTCATACTGTATCACTGGATCAGGATTCCTTACAGAGTACTATCAGCTGAGCCCAGGTTTTATTAGTGAGCCTGTTACTGCTCCCGATCCTTCTTTTTCATCCAGGTTTGGGACTGGAAAAGGCGGGGTTAGAAGCTTATGGCTGGGTTAAACACTGTTGGTTGATTTGGTTTCCCTGAATTGTCACCTCACATCCTTTATATCATCCCGGAATCCCACTTAGTGAACTTAAAACATTCCTCAGTCTCCTATACAACACTTGTTCGGAGGTACGGCTACACAAATTTGGAACGAAACGGAGACAATTGGCATAGTTTCATGCGCAAATATGACATGCAAAATCATTAAACGTTCCATTGGTCTCCTAATACAACCAGAATATCACATCCCTAGAGAAATTCCATAGTCTCCTACATCAACTAGAATATTACTTTGCTACAATAATCCATTGGTCTCTCACAATAACCGGAATATCACATCTCTAGAGCAATTCCACAGTCTCCTACAACAAACAGAATATCACTTCCTTAGAGAAATTCCACAGTCTCCTACAACAACCAGAATATCAATTTCCTACAGTAATCCATCGAGATAACAACAGTTGAATCTATACGACCCCAGGCAGTCCTGACGCAGCCAATTCCAGAGATACGGCTGAAGCGAGGGAGGAGTAAATAGGAAGGTGGGGTCACTTCATTAACATCTTCACCTGTGGCAGGAAGGAAGCCATCGTCTGCTGACATGGCCTTCTTGCCAAACTCCAGGCTGGATGGACCTCTGCAAACCTGCAATTAAAAGGTCACGTGAACAGGTAGCCTCTCTTTGAAGACCCCCCAACAATGGACCTGATGAAAGGTTATGATGATAATTTCAACGTTTCATCATTTTTATTCTAGTTTCTTTTTTAACGTTTGCTCTATTCTCCATTGCCCCTTCTGCAAGATTTCCTTTTTTTTTCTGTGGCAGGGAAATTTTTGCAAGCACTTTCTCTTGTATTAGGACATTCTTTGAACTTTTTTTTTAGTGATGATATTAAGCAATACTATTGAGAATTTCGTTCTTTTTTTTTCCAATGCACCTGTAGCGCCATGGCGAAAACATTCAATGTTGTTTTAAAAATCTTTTTTTATTATTATTGATTAGGGTCCTCTAAGGAAATCATTCAATGAAAAGCAGCATAGAAATAAAGTAGAATCTCCATTGAGAAGCTATAGACTAATGGATACTCTAGAGAGAGGCCATAGACTAATGGATACTCTAGAGAGAGGCCATAGACTAATGGATACTCTAGAGAGAGGCCATAGACTAATGGATACTCTAGAGAGAGGCCATAGACTAATGGATACTCTAGAGAGAGGCCATAGACTAATGGATACTCTAGAGAGAGGCCATAGACTAATGGATACTCTAGAGAGAGGCCATAGACTAATGGATACTCTAGAGAGAGGCCATAAACTAATGGATACTCTAGAGAGAGAGGCCATAGACTAATGGATACTCTAGAGAGAGGCCATAAACTAATGGATACTCTAGAGAGAGGCCATAAACTAATGGATACTCTAGAGAGAGGCCATAAACTAATGGATACTCTAGAGAGAGGCCATAAACTAATGGATACTCTAGAGAGAAGCCATAAACTAATGGATACTCTAGAGAGAGAGGCCATAGACTAATGGATACTCTAGAGAGAGGCCATAAACTAATGGATACTCTAGAGAGAGGCCATAAACTAATGGATACTCTAGAGAGAGGCCATAGACTAATGGATACTCTAGAGAGAGGCCATAGACTAATGGATACTCTAGAGAGAGGCCATAAACTAATGGATACTCTAGAGAGAGGCCATAAACTAATGGATACTCTAGAGAGAGGCCATAAACTAATGGATACTCTAGAGAGAGGCCATAAACTAATGGATACTCTAGAGAGAGGCCATAAACTAATGGATACTCTAGAGAGAAGCCATAAACTAATGGATACTCTAGAGAGAGGCCATAAACTAATGGATACTCTAGAGAGAGAGGCCATAGACTAATGGATACTCTAGAGAGAGGCCATAAACTAATGGATACTCTAGAGAGAGGCCATAGACTAATGGATACTCTAGAGAGAGGCCATAAACTAATGGATACTCTAGAGAGAGAGGCCATAGACTAATGGATACTCTAGAGAGAGGCCATAAACTAATGGATACTCTAGAGAGAGGCCATAAACTAATGGATACTCTAGAGAGAGGCCATAAACTAATGGATACTCTAGAGAGAGGCCATAAACTAATGGATACTCTAGAGAGAGGCCATAAACTAATGGATACTCTAGAGAGAGGCCATAGACTAATGGATACTCTAGAGAGAAGCCATAGACTAATGGATACTCTAGAGAGAGGCCATAAACTAATGGATACTCTAGAGAGAGGCCATAAACTAATGGATACTCTAGAGAGAGGCCATAAACAAGAATAAACTAGGCCTCTCCTGGAGGTAGTCTCTCATCAGAGAATCTGTTTCGGTTGAATGACTCCTCATGATTCGGCCTGACATAATATAATCTCTGATAAGAAACTAACTCAAGGAGACATCGAGTCTAGCCATGTTTTTAGATTATGGCTTTCTGTTGGGAATCTCTACTGTAATTCTGAAACATTTTGTATCTGTGAATAAACTTCAGCTCTCATGAAGCTAGAGGGATTTAGATAGATTTCTATAAGGTCATTATACACTCATGGACAAAACTTAGGGTCTTTGATATCACCGGTCATCTGTTTTTTTTTTCTAAGGAGACAGAGGCAATTTTGTTCACACTTGGTTATCTCGTGTGTCTTCAATAAAAGTCACTGTAATATCTTTTAGAGTTATTGTCTGAATCCCGATATACATGCTAAAAGGTACAACTTTCTCAACTTTTGTTTCCATGAGTGTATATTGGTTATCTCGTGTGTCTTCAATAAAGGTCACTGTAATATCTTTTAGAGTTATTGTCTGAATCCCGATATACATGCTATAAGGTACAACTTCCTTAAGTTTTGTCCATGAGTGTATATTGGTTATCTCGTGTGTCTTCAATAAAGGTCACTGTAATATCTTTTAGAGTTATTGTCTGAATCCCGATAGACATGCTAAAAGGTACAA